GAAAGGCGCAAAGCTACACAGAGAAACCCTGTCTCGAAAAACCAAAAAAAAAAAAAAAAAAAGAACTTGCTAGGTAGACTGGGCTGGCTTCAAATGCATAGAGACCTGCCTATGTCTGTCTACAGAATGCTGGGATTAGAGGTGTATACCACTGGCTTATTTTTAATTTTTGAAAAGGTAAGATCTAGTATTAATAACTTTGTATCAATGTCTGACATATAATTATTTGAACATATATGTCTATGTAAACATGATTTTTATTTGGCTGAAGATTTTAAAATAGGTGGGGAAACGTTCAGATTGTATTTCAAACTCATTTTTGTTGATTTTTTTAATGTGTTATCTTATCCAAATCACATACCTTTCTAAAACAAAACAAAAAAAGCATGCTGTTTACTCTGTACCAGTCAAATAAGACGAAAGATAAGAGCACTTGTGTAAATGCAGGAGTGTGAAAATGGCAAGTTGGGGAGGGACTGTCACATTTTCCACTCACCTATATGTCTAATGTTGTTCTAGGGAGCTTCACACACGATCCACAATGCCATCACCAGATAATCTCGTGACGTAAGTACCCTCAGGTGCACATGTGGAAACTGGAATAATGAAAATCACACTGGTGTCCACGGAGGATTGCCAGGACTCCACAGGTCCATTGATTGGTGAGGAACAAGGAGGCAAAAGGCACTGTCCTTCCTACCACTGAAAACACTGACTCAGGCAGCTGGAGCTCCTTTGCTGCCTCCTCTCTCCCCACAGACCTTCTCCTACTTTAAAAAGGAAGCAAACCCTCTTCCCCAGCCACTCTGACTTTGGTGCATTTCCCGGGGATAGAGACTTCCCGGGGACAAAGAGGCAAATTAAAGGTGCTGATGTTCAAAACCGAGTCCTCCTCACTGCATAACTAGGCTTTTGCATCACTGAGTGTTTCAAATTCTTTGCTTTCAACGAAGTTGTTGAAGGATCTAATAGAATGGTGAGCTAATACATTGTTAAAATGATTTTTGGTGGTAGGTTGTCATAATATATAACTAAAAAAACCAGGGCTGGAGAGATGGCTCAGTGGTCAAGAGCACTGACTGCTCTTCCAGAGGACCCGGGTTCAATTCCCAGTCCCTATGTGGCAGCTCACAACTGTCTGTAGCTCCAGTTTTAGGGAATCAGACACCCTCACCCAGACATTCATACATTAAGACAAGACACCAATAAAATAAACATAAAATAAAAATAAACAAATAAAAAAATCTAAAAACAACAAAAATCCAAACCAAAACAAAAAAGAAACAACCGATTGTGTGACAAATTCTGTGAGAAAAATTCTTCATCCCTTCTATTTAGTTATGTGAACAAAACTTAGCATTTACACTTTCTAAAGTTAGTAAAGAAAAAATAAAAACTGATATTTGTCTCATCTAATAATAAACAATATCCACAAATATATGAACTAGATAAAAAATACTTCTTCAGTCTCTAGGGAGTGTATCTCCAAAATTTTGTAATAGCATATTTGAACTATTTTTATTTTTTTAATTTGGCTTTTTGAGACAGGGTTTCTCTGTTTAATAGTCCTAGCTGTCCTGGAATTTACTCTGTAGACCAGGCTGGCCTCAAACTCACAGAGATCCTCCTGCCTCTACTTCCTGAGTGCTGGGATTAAAGGTGTGTGCCACTACCGCCCAGCTTGAACTATTTTTAAAAATTTTATAAAGTTTTTAACTGAAGATCCCTAGCAGGAGAGACACTATGTATAAGAAGGTGGTTTCCCAGGGCAAGGCTCCCCATTGCACTTTGGCTAAGCTGATTGCTGTGATTTCTCCTAATATGGGAAACTTGACTAAATCATTTATGATAGTGGGAGACTGTGTTCATGCTCTCCCCTGCTAAAAAAAAGTCTATGTCAGATGATCAAATCCAGACTCGTATGCATAAAATGTGTTACATTAGGACAAACCTCTGTTGCAGAAGGGAATGGAGAGATGACTTTGAGGAAATACAGAGAACAACATAAAATGTTCAACTGTTAAAGACGTTAATGGCCTATATTTAAGTGCCTGCTGCTGGCTATGAGCTGTAGTATTTAGATTTGACTGGATAGATACAATAAAGTGATGTAGCCATTTTACCATAGAATGTAAATATTTACAATAGATCAAAAATCAATTCTTGTTTGTTGCTATTTGAAAATGGAGTGAAAGGTTTCTATATATCAATTTATAATATATAGGGAAAGATATACAGGTTGTTGGATTTATTGTAGGAAGCATGCCAGCAGAAATGTTTGAAGATATATAAGTTTATAAATATCCCTGGACCACATAACCAACAGGAGGCCATACTCACAGTTGAGCCCATGTCTACAATAGTTTTTCTACTATACTTGAAGGAGACATAAATCTATGATGTTAATTTTGATTATTCTATTCAGTTTAGAAATAAATTATTTGGTTGTTCAGTATTAGCAAGACCTTGTTCCTGGTGCCAAGAGGTATACTGAGAGGAGTAAAATGTGTTCCTTACTTTTTAGGCGCTGGAACCTTATAGGGGAGATAAACTGTCTTTACAATCTTAACGTAAAATTCGTGCAATAAGGGCAAGAGGTCTTGATGAAAACTTCTGTGGGAAAAGATAGAGAGACTGTTTTGGACTGTGTCATCATGGAAGAGTTTCAGCAGCATGGAATTTGGACCATTGAAAAAAAGGGAGATGGTAATGAGAATTTATTTGTCCACACACCTACCCATTCATTCATCAAGGAAACATTAGCTACAAACAGATTAATACAGGGTAATTAAATGGGCCTTTAAACATACTATGTTTGGAAGAAATAAACTGCATCAAAAACATTTGTGAGACATCTAGGGAATCCTGAAAACTTGCTATTTGTTGACAGTAAGGATTTTTAGTTAATTCTTCTTAGTGTGATGATATTGTGCTTTTGTTAAAAATGAAGAAAGTCTATCTTTTAACAATGTGTACTGGGGTATTTTTTATGGAATAGATACTTTACATTTCATTTTTAAAAGTCCAGAGTGTGTGGTTTGGAGGGAGTCTAAGTAAAATAGAATGAATAATATGTAGGTAACTGTTCAAGAAACTGTTTGATGCATGCAAGTTTATTGTACTATTTTCTTTATTTTGCCTCCAAAAATATCTTTAAAAGAACTTCCAGGTTTCAAGAAATTAGAGGGGGATAGAAGCGGGAAAGACATGTTGCACTTCCCATCCTTCTGTGGTGGAAATACCTGGTATGCCACTGTTGTCTGCCGCACTGATGGTATGATGGATGGATGCTGTCTGAGATGCTCAGGGGCAGTTGGAAAGAGGGAGTGAGTGAGGCTTTACTATTGCAGGAGAATTGATCAGACTTTGTAATTTATTGGATACGAGATCAAAAGTGATGGGAATTTTGATTTTGAATGCTGGGGGTGACATGTCCACAATGGAGACAGGAAATATAGGTGGAGAAATAGGTTGGGATGAGGATTGGAACAGAGCTCGACTCTGGACCTCCAGAGACTGAGCTACTCCAGAAATGTAGAGATGATAAGGAATTCATGGAAACAGTTCTAGGCAGAATGAACTTCAATGATAAAGATAGGGGGAGGAAAATGCACAGACTACATTTCACGGTCCTGCTAGTCTTCAAGTTGATGCAGCATAGGCTCTGAGTGGAAAGTATGGTTGGCTGGAGAGGTAGATGCACTCATTGAGGTCATGTTGGTCCCCATCATTGCCATGGGGCTTGATGAACCTGAAATGGACCAAGTGTTTTAAGTCTTAAGCTCTCTTGTGGAAGGGGATCTTGATGCTCAGGAATGACACTTTCAGAAAACAAATCACTTACCTGAAATAAATAGCCAATTAGGATTGGTAAAAGGTGATGAGCATTCTTCTTTTGTTGTTTCGGAATTACAGTTTATTGATTTGGATTGTGGGCTCTAGAGCCTCCGTTTTTATTTTTAAATCCCGACTCCAAAGTTACTTAGCCTCACTCTTCTCCTCTGTAAGGTAGAAATCATAGTATCTAATATGAGAGTAAATCAGATGGTGACTATAAACTAGTATACTCCTGATAACCTAAAACTATCAGTCCTTATGATTCTCTTTTCTCTCTCTCTCCTTCATGGGGCAGGCCTCATGCTAGGCAGATACTCTACCACTGAGCTATTTTCTTAGCCCTCTCTATCAGTACTTTTTGAAGAGAAGGCAAAGGACTTGATTGCTTTGTGTATTAAATGCTCCATATTTCCTTCCGAAGGGCTTTAAGTTCTACTGAAATTGACTACTGCTTTCCTTATGTCTATTACATTACTCAAAAAAAAAAAAGCCAAGTATACTCAGGTCTGAGGTTATGCTATCTGAATCTAACCTATTATTATTTATCTTCACACTAGAACATTACAAAAATGTTCTAACACAAACACTCCACTTGGACAAATCCTTTCCTTTTATCTTGCTTATTCAGCAACACTACCATAGTTCTTTACATGTTTTAAGTGAAACAATGTGTTTCTGAGATCTCCAGAAGTTGAATTCCAATGGAAGAAGATGAAGTGTTAAGAAGAAGGCGAGGCTGGCTTTGGGTGCAGATTTAACTGGGGTGGTGGGAGAGGTGGGGCCAGTCCCTTAGAGCTCCAGGGAGCTTGCTGAATGTCTACACAAGGGAGGAGAGGAGGGAAGAAAAGCAGGAAGGAAGGTGTGGAGCTGAGAGGTGGTGAGGGTTGAAGGAGGGCAGTAAAGGAAGGATAATTCATACCAACTGAGCAATGGGAGGGTCCCAAAGAAAGGGTTTGTCGGATCTCTGTGAGTTCGAGGCCAGCCTGGTATACAAAGTGAGTTCCAGGACAGCCAGGGCTGTTACACAGAGAAACCCTGTCGAGAGAGAGAGAGAGAGAGAGAGAGAGAGAGAGAGAG